CTTACTTGTATTAGAATTGTATTATAGTAAATTTTACCAATTAATGTAATAAATGACTTTTATAGAGATTAGAGTATTAATTTTTATTAGACATGTTACTGAAGTATGGAAAACTTTACTAGTAAGAAAAGCTTATTTTTTTATGTTTAGTTTTCAAAAATTGAAGTTTTGTTGTTAAAACGTTTAATTTTCTCAATTTATTTAAGTGGTTTTTGAAATAAAAATTTTTTAATGTTTCAATTAAATATTTAAGGTTTTCATAACAAATGCCTGCTGGATGAGAAACCAATAGAAAATAATTATTACTTATAGATTATTCAACATTTAAATTAAAGGAAAATTGAAAATAAATTTAGAAAAATATTTTTAATGTTTAATTCAACTTTATTTATTGTAAATTTAATATAAATATTCAGTACATTTTATCTAACAATTACATAACTTGTAGCAATTAATAAAAAAATTTAGTATATGAATTTAGCATTTTAATATGGAGAGTCTGTGCACTTAAGTATTTTGAATGCTCTTTTCATAAAAAATATAAAGTATCTAGATTGCTAGTATTGCTTTTTTATAGTATTGCTTTTTTAACTGTAACATTGTAAAAGATAAATCTATAATGAATAGGTTATGTAAAATTTTTTAATTAAAACAATTATTAGTAAAATTTTTTTTTATATTTTAGCATCTTTGGAAAAAACAAATTTAAAAGCAAAACAACAATTTCAAACTCTTCAAATGTGTGAAGAACAATTTACTAAAAGATGTGAAAAATATGAATCTATAATTCAAGATAATCAGAAACATAAATTAAAAGTAATGCAAGAAAATGAAAATCTTAAAATCAGCATAGAAGAATTAAAAACTGCTTTAGCAATAGCTGTTAATGATGGAAAGGTAACTGTATTTTTACTTTTCTGGCTGTTATAGAACATAATATACAACAAGTATGGTGATTGGTCAAATTTTGGCTTTTATGAGTTTTTGCATTTCTAAACATTTGATACTTCCTCAGCTCAAAAATGTAAAAACTAAGTACAGGGTGATTCAAAAGTCACAGAAATTTTGAAAAATTAATAACTCACAAACTATTTACAGTAAGATGATGCGATTTTCACAGAAATGCTGAGAAAGAAACTGGAATTTTTTATGTGTAATAAGAATTTTAGTACCAAAATAGTTACATTTCTTGCCATAGATGGCACTTGATAAGATTACATAATTTGTGAAGTTGTTACTAGAGCTTACACTAAGAACATTTTTATTTTTTTATTTTTACTTTAACAAATTTACAAATGATTTCAGTTTTTTACAGTGCCATCTATGGCAAGAAATGTAACTATTTTGGTACTAAAATTCTTATTACACCTAAAAAATATCCCTCTTCTTTCTAAGCATTTCTGCAAAAACTTCATCATCTTACTGTAAATAGTTTGTGTTATTAATTTTTTAAAATTTCTGTGACTTTTGAATTACCCTGTACTTACAAAATTCTGTGTTTGTTTGTTTGTGTGTGCGTGTGTGTGTGTGTTTGTCAGCATCTGTTTTATATTATATCTCAACTGAATGAATCAAAAACTTTGAAAATTGACAAGGTTATTTATTTCTATGTATGGGACATTGTTACTATTAAATTTTGACAATTAAAAGACCAGGGTGGAGAGATAGAGAAAGGTGTCATATTTGAGTTGAGTCAGACTTGATGAAATTTTACTTATTGTTGGCATTTATAATATATTTAAAAACTCATTTCTACCCTAAAAATTAAGCTTTTAGTCTTTTTATAACAATTAATAATATAAAAATTATTTATTAAATAAAAAATCTTATAACAGATAGCACCACACACAATTTTAACTTTGAGCTCATATCTTAGTGTTTTTTAAGCTTAAATATTCTTTTAAATAGAGAATTTTACCATAATGAAACAATATTACTATTGTAGCCGAACGATAAATAATTGACTCCCAAAGGATAATTCGGCATTGATATAATTTATTAACAAAATTTCCAGACTCCAAATAGGCAAATACCGATACTTAAAACTAGGTTGTACAATACTAAGTATGAACTCTCGTCCCGACACAGCACATGGATCCCACGTTCAGCCGACAATAGAATCTTAGTCTAGCTTAAATCTAACTTAACTAATTACTTTAAACCTAGGGCCCAAAAATTTAGAGAAAGAGAGAAAACGAAAAATCATAAAAAATTGAGAATACAAGGGGTGACTGGTCAAAAGAGAAAAAACCTCAGATCCTTCACGTAACGACTTCCTTTTTTCCTAGCTTGTCCTAACGTGTCCTCGCTCCACTCCGGTCTCGTCCCGAACTCCCTCTCTTCCTGTTCGGACCTCCTTTTTGTCCACTTAGTCCGTCACCCCCTTCGACCAATCAAGCGTCAGCCCCTATTGTCTAACACAGATCGGACCACATGGTTTAACCAACCACATCATACTTAAGTAAACAAAGGCCAGAAGTGGGGTTTTTCCGTAAGACGTGGTCACAAGTAATGAAGAGAAAGGAAAAACATAAGAAACATGGCTTAACAAAGTCACACTATTTTAAGCTTTGTTGTTATTTAAATTTTATATCTTAGTATAATTGAAAATTATTAGGCTTTCTTCCTTGTCCCCTTAACCCCCTTTTCAAATGCTGGAAAAGTCAAGAAAGATTTTTTTCAGCTTTCTTAATAACAGATAATTTCTTAAAAACTTGCCTTTTTATAATAATTTATTTTATTTTAGGGTTTACAGTTTAAAACAAAAATTGATGAAATGTCTTTAGAAATAAATGAACTAAAAAAAGGAAATGAAGAAAAACAAAAAGAACTGGAAAAATTAAACTTATTAAATTTAGAATTGGAACAAAAACATACTGTATTTCAAACGAACATTGAAAAATTAGAAAAAATGGTACAACATTTGGAAACTGAGAAGAAGGCATTAATAGTAATGAATGCTGAATTAGAGAAGAAAGTATCAAAAATTGAGAGAGAGGTTAGAAATATTTTATGATAAATTAAAATTAATTATTGAAATTNGTTTATAATGTAAAAAATCAATGTGAAGCATGTCTTCTATGTTGTTCATATTTTCTCTGTATCCCAGTCACACTAGGATTGTTAATTATTGGCAAATGTATTTAATGTAATGCTGACCAAATAGATGTGTACAAAATTTCCAACTCTCTACTACTGACAGAGGTCTACTTGGGTTGAAAGAATGCAAAAATCTGAAGAATTTATTCCTTTCAACTCAGCTTACTAATCCAGAATGGAATTCTACTGTATAATTTCACAGAAAAAATCCTTAATGCTTGAATTCTTTTGGCATTCATTTGAAAAACTATTAAATCAGTCTATATAAAAACTAAATGATGGTTTTATATGATAAAATATACTTTATAAAATTTCGTTAAAATTAATATTTCAATCAGTAACACAAATAATTTATACAGTAAAATCTGGAAAGATGGAATTTCAGGGAACATTAAAAAATTTCAGGATTAGGTTTTACTAGGCAGGCTGGAACAAAATCGTTACTGCATCAAAATGTGAACACACAATCTAGACGTATTATTTTCAGGATCGTCGAGAGGGTGGAAATTTGGGATTTTTCCCTGGCTCATTGAAAATTTAGGACCTTTAGTGATTTCTACCTCTATAAAATAACGTTATTTCTACTAACAGAAAATAAAATCTTTAAGACTGATTGATTTTTATTAATAAAGAAACATTCTACATACTTCATTTCGAAAAACAACAGATTAAGTGGGCCCGCTCTATCCCAGGGCTCCATACAAACTGGACGGCCCTGATTAATTCGTTTGCATCAGAAGATTTTATATAGTTAATCTGGGCCTCCTGCTCCTAATCTTTCTATATCTTTCATCTATCTAACTCCATACTCGAGATTAGGAAAAGACGGACGGATGACAGTTTTTAATTACGATATTTTGTGCCTAGAACACGTGTATTTTTTATCACAAACATACTATTCTATTACTGTTGTATGTTAAAATTTTGCCGCCAAAGATAAAATTTTTACTTAGGATCGGACTATTATTTATTTTTGAATTAATTTACCAAAACTCCATTTATTTACTATGTCGGCTGGTCGGAGAAATTCATCGGTAATTTTTAAAAAAAATTGTTCGAGAAAGCAGGTCCGAATAGCAGTTACAGTATGTAGGTCACGGAAGCTGTCTGGCAGTGTGCGTGACGAAAATACTGTAATTGACACACGTACAACCCCGCACGCCGTCACATGACGGGAAGTTAATTTTTAGTGGCATGGGTTTCCTGCGCTTTATAGAAAGTTTCTGATTAGTTTATTCGATTGATGAACGTTAATTATTTTATTTAAATTTAAAATTTCGGAGAGCATAAAGATACTGTATCAAACCCTATTCGAGTTAACGGCCGGATGGTCGAGAGGTTAAAATGGCAGCCTACCACTCACGGGGAGACGAGATCGAACACGCCGGGTCGAAGAATTCCAGGAATTTTTCGGGGACGGTCCATCCCGATATGTCGGGTTCCGTTCGCAGCACGAGGCTGCCCCATCATAGGCCCGATCGAACCTAAAATACAGGGCCGGCGTGACCTTTTGCGGGGCCTGGTTCAAAAATTTTACGGGGCCAGAATGCACATTCAAATCCTATACTTAAATTTCACAATAAGGAATTATTTATTATAAGTACAAAGGATGTTACATATATTTTTTGTAAAATGAATATTACATAATTTTTTTGCTTTTTTCGCCGCAAAATCTTTGATTACGCCATAAAACTAGGGTTTCTCATTTCCCGGTCTTTTGCTTGTCCTGGGATTCCGGGATAAAAGTGAACTGTTTCCCGGGATAGAATCAATTATTTTTAAGGTATACAAAATATCTTGAAATTAAATGATATAATTATTTTTCATTTTTTAAAGTAATTTTAAAGTTC